GGGCTCGAACCACTCAGTTTATAAAATTGCATTACTATCATTTGAAGACAAATGTTTTATGTGAGGAGCAATAAAATCTAATAATAAAAGATTAACAATGAGCTTTAACACCAGGATAAGTAGTCACAAAACGGTAATGGCATAAAGAAGATAACTTAACCTATTCAGTTACTCCAGAGCAATATAGTAATATAGTAATATATATATATATATACTGTATATTTGGTTCATAATAATAATCAAAAGGAAATCACTGTCTTGCACGGCAGCATTTTCCTCCATTGACAGTAGTAAATTCCCATAATCTCTTGATGACACGCTGATATGAACGTTCCATTAAAACTTCATAAAGCTTAAATACTCCCTGTGCCTCTCTCTGAAGGCCCCAGATGTGGAGGATAGTTTCCAGCAGGATGTAGGGAAACTCCATGAATGCTTCCCAATGGCACCCTATTCCCTATATAGTGCACTATTTTTTATCAGAGCCCTAAGGGCCCTGGTCAAAAGTAGTGAATTATGTAGGGAATAGGGTGCCATTTGGGACGCAAGCCAACTGTACAGCCTCAAGGTGTGCACTGCTTATTTCCTGCAATGTAATTGAAAACAAATGACCCCTTTCTTTTGCATCTTAATTACCTTAAAGCGGCAATCAGCAGTTGAAACAATTACAAAGCGCAATCCATGCCCGTTTTGGTGAAATGCTGAGGGATGGGGCTGGAGAAATGTAACCACTCAAATTCATAGACAGAGCTATGGATGCAAGGACTGACCATCCATAATATTAACATTATCGTTTTAACCATGTTTTGGGGCTATATAGTGTTTGTTTACATTTTAGTCATTTAGCAGATGCTCTTATCCAGAGCGACTTACAGTTAGTGAGTGCATACATGTTTTTTTTGTGTGTTTTTTTTACAAACATTTGTGTAAAACAAGCTTATGTTTTGGGTTCTGATGGGGTACATCAGTTGAACTTAGCTCATGAGACATTTATAAGTTATATTCTACAAGCATCAATGGGTACATATCAATTTCTACATCCAAAAATTGATGTGGAATCTGCAGATTGCAACTTTAATGGTTCAATGCTTTGTTGGCCCGGTTCTCAGTTTGAGAACTGTGTGGACTGGAATAGTCTTGATCGGGGGAAAAGGCTCATTAGCCAACTGCTTTTCATCATGGATACAAAAACAAATCAATAGGCCAATCAGTCGACTGCCTTCGCAAAATACGATTAATTGAGGAACAGCTATTAAAAGGAGTACATTAACTTAATGTTCTTACAGTGGATATTAGAACGGCCTAACGTTTCCACAGTAAAATGCTTCATACTCAGTGTATGGGTAGTATGGGACTAGGTCTTCCATCATCCAGTGAGGTTTTGAGCTAACCTTATGAGCTGGCCATTTTATTCAACAGCAAATATGTGAAGCCAATTAGCCCGTCCTCCCCATTTCTCCTACCAGGTTCCACTGACAGGACAAGAACATCAACCCCTCATCCACCCATCTCACCAGGCTGAACCAACAGGCCATGCTGTAATGTCCACAGGCTGACAGACAGCTCTCCAACTCACAGTCTTCCTGCCTTGACAGAAGAAAAGAGATGATCATATTACTGATGATCCCGGCAGTTTCTAGGCTGGCTGGCTTGTCCTTAAAGAAATGAGGGCGCCTGTCTGTGCTCATTGCTGGTAATGAATCAGCTGAAACTCTGGAACCTTTAGAATTGGACGCACTACTTCTTGAAGTGCAGGGTGCTGGAGGGCACAGTCACAGTGATGTGGCTGTAAGAGGAGCTGCCATCAATGGCCTAACAGGTGCAATGAGATGGACACTACAAATGATCCCCTTATTTGAGGATGTTCAAATTAAACCTGAATGATACCACCAATCAATCATTAAACAATCGGGGGCTCGATTCAATCAGATCCGCTTTAGCCGACATCCGCATAGCGGTTGTTTTGACGGTGTCAGAGGTGGAACTGTGTTAGAGCTGTCAAGTCCACAAGTGGCTGCCGGCATTATACCTAAAGCAGACATTGCCATTGGCTGTACAGAGTCATTAACAGAAATCCCATGCAGCCTTTGTATAGAAATTCAAACACTGGAATGTGAGATGTAATCTACAACTGGATTAGGATGATGATAGAACTGCCCACCAATTTGACAGCTCCAACGCAGTTCCATCTCTGACACCTCCAAAACATCCGCTATGCGGATGTCAGCTATCGCCGGTTAGCTCTGATCTGATTGAATCTAGGCCCAAGTCATGTTTGTCAATAAAATTCATTTGAATGCCACATTACCAAGAATGCACTGATTATTGTGTGTCAATCTGGTTAAGAGCATATATCCCGCTGCATGCCTATAATTTGCTTTCTGTTGACAAAGTTGTGTCAAATTAGATTTTCAGGACACAAAGGATAAGGAGCTATTTCATTTTTCTAATGAATGGGGAAACTACAGCCCAGCTGTTAATTACTACATGGAGATCTACTGAGGCATATCTTGGCAATATGTCATTCAACATGTTATGTGGCTTCAAATGCCAGCTGTGATACCTTACAGTGTAGGAAGAAAATACAGGGGTGTATTCATTAGTCGCACACCGTAGCAAAACATTTTTCACCATAGCAAAAAGTTTTGCAACAAAAACACGTTCATTTAGGTCCCTCCCGTTTTGTTCCATTTGCTTCCGTTTGGTTCCTAGTGAATACACACCTGGCATATCTTCATGCATCTCTTACATTATCAAGCACTCTCATATATCAATGTTCATTCTAATGACCGAGTTCTCTCATAAATCAAGAACAATAGAATGTCAATGGGCATTACTGCAACCACAAGCAAGTTAGCTGAGGTGTATTCATTAGTGCACACCGTAGCAAAACATTTAGCAACAAACACATTTCTATTGGATAAATTCAGGTAGGTCCCTCTGTTTGGTGAATACACCCCTGGTTTGTGAAAGAAGTAGTCAATATACACTGAGTGTACAAAACATTAAGAACACCTTCCTAATATTGAGTTGCAAGAGCAGGTATTCTTAATGTTTTTACACTCAGTGTATGGTTTAGTTTATATAGTTCTTGACATAGTGTATGGCAAGGTGCCACCACATTTATATCTACAAAATGTATAATCATTACGAAAAAGCAAAATTGGAACTTGAAATTGTAAATTGTGGGGGGAAAAACATTGATATTGTGCATGTTTATAACCAATTTATAACATTTATTCATCACTGTATTCCCCCCTGCCAAGATATCTACCTAAATATCTCCTCAGGCGAGTAACTTGGTGAGGAATGTCGTCGACAATCAAGCCAAAGCCTGCCTTTGTCATACAGCACACCTGTATAGTTAGCTCACTCCCGGCCCAGTCACAACAGCTGTAGATCGCTATTGTCATTCACAAAATGTTACTCAAAAGGAATTCTACTGACATCGCTCTTTTTCCTCAACTTGGGTGGCTCTGGCTAAAAAGATACACAGATAAATAAGATCTAGATGTTGGTAGATGCTATTGATCTTCAACAGCAAGTCAAGAAGTGATCCCTTTCTTTAAACAAGTATTAATTCAATAGATCTCACCTGTGGTAACTGCTATGATCATCATTTCTGCCAGAGAGGCTCTGTGTTGCTAGTACCAGAGGACCAACATACACCATGCTGCAATAGGGACGCCTAGTGGCCATTATAAAATAGATTAATTGATATACCTGAACGTGTCCATCATAGTTATGTAAAACATAGAAAAGAGATACAGTACATCTCCTGACATCCATTAAGAAATATATGTAGTTTGATACATTGTCAATGTACCACTCTCAGAACAAACTTGGGCTTTGTGTAGATAGAAGACAATAGCCAAACGGTGCTGTCAGTCTGAGTAGGGACTCATGTTGAGAAAATGCAAGAGATCAGAAAATTCCCACTGATTTATATTCGATTGGAAAGCTTGCTTTCCCCAGGTTCTCTCTGGCTGTAGCATTCATCACTCACTGCAGCAATGTTTTTCCTGTGCGATAAAGCCTTTCCTTCATACGAGATAGCTTTACTATTTCATTACTGATACAGTGACAATTGCCTGGTTAACGCGACTCACCTGGTAAACAGCAATGGAATGCTTAAGACCTCAAGTTGTGTCAGACTAGTGAGAGGCGCCCCAGACTGGTTGAAGCATTTTGTCACTATGCACCCATATTATTTCTCCTCTGTGCATCTGTATGCCTGGATAAAGAGGCTTATACTTCTACCTATGTGGTTGTCTTGAGCCAAGGGGGCCCCTAAATCGACAGAATGGGGCATTGTCTGCACATCATATAGCCTCATTGTGTTACTTTAGTTTATTTAGTAAATATTTTCTTAACTCTATTTCTTGAACTGCATTGTTGGTTAAAGGCTTGTAACTAAGCATTTCATGGTAAGGTTTACACCCGTTGTAGTCAGCGCATGTGACAAATAAAGTTTGGGAGAAAAGTGGCAAATATATTTCAACTTCATAGCACATCACTGTCTTATTCCAGGCAGGTATGCAGTCAACACAAGAATCCCTTAATAATGTCTTCTACTCACAATATAACTAGAATAGTTCATGAGTTATCAATTAAAAGGTTTAGTGACATGCTGATAGCATTTCAATCCAGATGCAAGTCAGAAGAACGCAGCATAATGATTTATAGGGCACAACACCCGCTAAAAGAGTAAGGAACCATAGGTGCACAATACCTTGGAGCTTTATTCAAATACAACTTTAAAAAACATGGAAATGCCACAGGTATGCAAAAACGTAAACGAAACCACGGTTGTAACAAATACATACAAGCCCAAAATAAAAACCAGCTTCTCTGAAGCCACTTAAAAAAAAAAAAAATAATACCACAGATGAGTAGATGCAAGTTCATACATTTAAAAAGTCCTAAAACACTACCAATGAAAATGTTAACCATTTTGAAGCAGAATGTCCTGAGATGACCCCATGCCACTGTTCATAGGGTTATACCGTCTTCTGCTGTCCCTTCTTTCCTATCAGTGACTTATGGATATGAGGGATGACACCTGGAAAATAAAAATGAAATTAGTGCATGTAAATCAAAAACCAGGGAAATTTGTACAATGGCAATCAGAGTGGCAAAGAATACAAAATAACTGATACACTTACCACCACCAGCAATGGTTGCTTTAATGAGAGAATCCAACTCTTCATCGCCTCTAATGGCCAGTTGCAAGTGACGTGGTGTGATACGCTTGACCTTCAGATCCTTGGATGCGTTTCCGGCCAGCTCCAGAACCTGAAGTTGACGAGCGCGCAAGTAAATATTAGGCTACTGACTCTCGCACGAGCACATCAATTAACTTCGATTGCATGCACAATACTGTATGGATTAAATGTCATGAACCGCCACACAATTAAAGTGTGTTGTAAACATGCAAAATCACAGTCGCGATGTTGACCAACGTCACCTCAGCCGTCAGGTACTCAAGAATTGCCGCGCTGTACACAGCTGCAGTCGCCCCAACTCTGCCATGGCTCGTTGTTCTGGATTTAAGATGTCTGTGAATACGGCCCACGGGGAACTGGAAAACAGGGCGGGAAACGTTTAACTGCATGCGTTTACCCGTCCGTGCTATCCGTGATCCTTGGTACGTCTCTACCCTATTGAAGTTGAAATTTAAAATCTGTAGGTAAGGGTTACGGTTAGGGGCGTCCCAAGGATCCCAGATAACACTGGCCTGTGTTTAATCAAGTAGTTACCCAGCCATCAATAAGTCGCGAGCCAATTCAACTAAATTATTTTGTGAATCAACACCCAATACAATAGCTAGTATCAGGTTACGAAAATTGGTTATAGTTTTGCAAATTAACAGCGCTACCTTTTCCACACGTTTACCATCGTTGGCGTTAGCATTGTTAGCATGTAATGAATGACTGATGTCCTCACCTGCAAACCCGCTCTCTGTGAGCGCGAAATGGCCTTCGTCTTAGTTTTCCCGGAGTCTTTTCCAGCCTTGCCACCAGCCTGTAATAGAGTGCCATTGTTAAAGTATAAATATGTATTGAGCAATTAATGCAAGATACAGGTATGTGTAATTCGCCAGTTTATTCGGCAGCGCGTGCTATGGTTTTTGATAGCCAGCCAATGCCAGGCGAGTCGCATTACTAAGGTTAGTTACCTAACGTACCTAGTTAACTAGCTAATGTTAGTTACAGAAGATAGCTTTAGCTAGCTAAAACAAACATTTCTCAAATACAGTCTAATCCTCACGGTGCACTTGTTCAATAAAGTGATAGCGTTAGCAACGAATAAAAAATAAAATACCATTGTATAAGATGTCCCTGCTATTTGCAGCTACACAGATCTTCCACGAGTACTTATCTAGTTTGAACAATAGTCCCGCCTCAGATTGCCATTTATTTATTGAGAGGAGCTTGATCCGGGACTTTGCATGGAGGAAGCCAGCCAATCAACTCTCGAATAAATTTTTGGGGCATGGCTCTTAGCCAATCACAATGTAAAATTGCTCACTTGTGCGGGAAAATTTGACACGTCATTGCATGTTGGATAATGTAGTTTTAAATATATTTTTACCCCTTTTTCTCCCCAATTTCGTGATATCCAATTGGTAGTTACAGTCTTGTCCCATCGCTGCAACTCCCGTACGGACTCGGAAGAGGCGAAGGTCGAAAGCCATGCGTCCTCCGAAACACGCCCCTGCCAAGCCGCACTGCTTATTGGCACACTGCTCGCTTAACCCGGAAGCCAGCCGCACCAACGTGTCGGAGGAAACGCCGTACAACTGGCGACCGTGTCAGCGTGCATGCACCCGCCCGCCACAAGAGTCGCTAGAGCGCGATGGGACAAGGACAACCCGTGCGATGCCTCATGGGTCTCCCGGTCGCGGCCGGCTGCTGTAGTTTCTATTTTATTCTCAATTTATTTAGCAACTTTATAGCAGAGAATAACATAACATCTGTTTATGCTATGTGTGGACCTAACAGTTTTATTGAAATTAAATAGCAAAAAAAAAAAAATATATATATATATATATATATATATCTTAATAATCAACCAAATATCTGCATGTTCAAGTTTCTTCAAATCAATGTAGTGTGAAAAACAGTGGTGTAAAGTACTTAAGTAAAAATACTTGAAAGTATTACTTAAGTATGAAAAATGTATGCACTCACTAACTGTAAGTCGCTCTGGATAAGAGCGTCTGCTAAATGACTAAAATGTAAATGTAAGTAGTTTTTTGGGGTATCTGTACTTTACTATTCATATTTTTGACAACTTTTACTTCTACATTCCTAAAGAAAATGATGTACTTTTTACTCCAATCATTTTCCCTGACACCCAAAAGTACTTAGCAGGACAGGAAAGTGGTCTAATTCACACACTTATCAAGAGAACTCCCTGGTCATCCCTACTGCCTCTGATCTAGCGGACTCACTAAACACATGCTTAGTCCGTAAATTATGTCTGAGTGTTGGAGCGTGCCCCTTGCTATCCGTAAATTTAAAAAACAAGAAAATGGTGCCCTCTGGTTTGCTTAATATAAGGAATTTGAAATGATTTATACTTTTACTTTTGATACTCAAGTATATTTTAGCAATTACATTTACTTTTGATACTTAAGTATATTTAAAACCAAATACTTTTAGACTTTTACTCAAGTAGGATTTTACTGGGTGACTTCCACTTTTACGTGTCATTTTCTATTAAGGTATCTTTACTTTTACTCAAGTATGACATTTGGGTACTTTTTCCCACCACTGGTGAAAATGGCTTTATGAAACATCAGTAGATAAATCAATTGATTCCTTGAGAAGAAAAAAAACATGATTGATTACAATACACAGACAGTCAACTGAAATAGGCCTACGCCAGTGATGTGTACTTGGCGTACACATCACTGACAAACTGAAATGGTCCACCCACGCAGACAGTGTGGTGAAGAAGGCGCAATAGAGAGCCTCTTCAACCTCAGGAGGCTGAAGAAATTGGGCTTGGCACCTAAAACCCTCACAAACTTTTACAGATGCACAATTGAGAGCATCCTGTCGGGCTGTATCACCGCCTGGTACGGCAACTGCACCGCCCGCAACCGCAGGGCTCTCCAGAGGGTGGTGTGGTCTGCCGAACGCATTACCGGAGGCAAACTACCCGCTCTCCAAGACACCTACAGCACCCGATGTCACAGGAAGGCCAAAAAGATCATCAAGGACATCAACCACGAGCCACTGCCTGTTCACCCCGCTATCATCCAGAAGGCGAGGTCAGTACAGATGCATCAAAGCTGGGACCGAGAGAATGAAAAACAGCTTCTATCTCAAGGCCATCAGACTGTTAAATAGCCATCACTAGCACATTAGAGGCTGCTGCTGCCTATTGAAATCACTGGCCACTTTAAGGAATGGAACACTAGTCATTTTAATAATGTTTACATATCTTGCACTACTCATCTCATATGTACAGTGGGGGAAAAAAGTATTTAGTCAGCCACCAATTGTGCAAGTTCTCCCACTTAAAAAGATGAGAGAGGCCTGTAATATTCATCATAGGTACACGTCAACTATGACAGACAAAACAAGATTTTTCTTCCAGAAAATCACATTGTAGGATTTTTAATGAATTTATTTGCAAATTATGGTGGAAAATAAGTATTTGGTCACCTACAAACAAGCAAGATTTCTGGCTCTCACAGACCTGTAACTTCTTCTTTAAGAGGCTACTCTGTCCTCCACTCGTTTCCTGTATTAATGGCACCTGTTTGAACTTGTTATCAGTATAAAAGACACCTGTCCACAACCTCAAACAGTCACACTCCAAACTCCACTATGGCCAAGACCAAAGAGCTGTCAAAGGACACCAGAAACAAAATTGTAGACCTGCACCAGGCTGGGAAGACTGAATCTGCAATAGGTAAGCAGCTTGGTTTGAAGAAATCAACTGTGGGAGCAATTATTAGGAAATGGAAGACATACAAGACCACTGATAATCTCCCTCGATCTGGGGCTCCACGCAAGATCTCACCCCGTGGGGTCAAAATGATCACAAGAACGGTGAGCAAAAATCCCAGAACCACACGGGGGGACCTAGTGAATGACCTGCAGAGAGCTGGGACCAAAGTAACAAAGCCTACCATCAGTAACACACTACGCCGCCAGGGACTCAAATCCTGCAGTGCCAGACGTGTCCCCCTGCTTAAGCCAGTACATGTCCAGGCCCGTCTGAAGTTTGCTAGAGTGCATTTGGATGATCCAGAAGAGGATTGGGAGAATGTCATATGGTCAGATGAAACCAAAATATAACTTTTTGGTAAAAACTCAACTCGTCGTGTTTGGAGGACAAAGAATGCTGAGTTGCATCCAAAGAACACCATACCTACTGTGAAGCATGGGGGTGGAAACATCATGCTTTGGGGCTGTTTTTCTGCAAAGGGACCAGGACGACTGATCCGTGTAAAGGAAAGAATGACTGGGGCCATGTATCGTGAGATTTTGAGTGAAAACCTCCTTCCATCAGCAAGGGCATTGAAGATGAAACGTGGCTGGGTCTTTCAGCATGACAATGATCCCAAACACACCGCCCGGGCAACGAAGGAGTGGCTTCGTAAGAAGCATTTCAAGGTCCTAGAGTGGCCTAGCCAGTCTCCAGATCTCAACCCCATAGAACATCTTTGGAGGGAGTTGAAAGTCTGTGTTGCCCAGCGACAGCCCCAAAACATCACTGCTCTAGAGGAGATCTGCATGGAGGAATGGGCCAAAATACCAGCAACAGTGTGTGAAAACCTTGTGAAGACTTACAGAAAACGTTTGACCTGTGTCATTGCCAACAAAGGGTATATAACAAAGTATTGAGAAACTTTTGTTATTGACCAAATACTTATTTTCCACCATAATTTGCAAATAAATTCATAAATCCTACAATGTGATTTTCTGGAATTTTTTTTCTCATTTTGTCTGTCATAGTTGACGTTTACCTATGATGAAAATTACAGGCCTCTCTCATCTTTTTAAGTGGGAGAACATGCACAATTGGTGGCTGACTAAATACTTTTTTTCCCCCACTGTATATACTGTATTCTATTCTATACTATTCTACTGTATCTTAGTCCATGCTGCTCTGTGTAGCTCAGTTGGTAGAGCATGGCGCTTGCAACGCCAGGGTTGTGGGTTCGTTTCCCACGGGGGGCCAGTATGCACTCACTAACTGTAAGTCGCTCTGGATAAGAGCGTCTGCTAAATGACTAAAATGTCAAAATGTCATTGCTTGTCCAGATATGTATATATTCTTAAATTCCATTCCTTACTAGATTTGTGTGTATTGGGTATATGTTGTGAAATTGTTAGATATTACTTGTTAGATATTACTGCACTGTCGGAGCTAGAAGCACAAGCATTTCGCATTCCCCGCAATAACATCTGCTAAACACGTGTATGTGACAAATACAATTTAATTTGATTTGATTTACTGAGAGGACAACAACAAAAAAACTACAGAGTGCTGCATATCCATCTCATTTAGATACAAACTCTCTGAACAATGCATATCTCAAATAAAGGGAATGTTTATTAAAGATCCCTTCCTTTTTATGAACAACTATGCCATTGTCAAGTTGAATATAGGGTTTGGGGTTAAAATAGTGTTCGGAGCTAAGCTTAAAATATACTGAACAAAAATATAAAAGCAACATGTAACAATTTCAACATTTTACTGAGTTACAGTTCATATAAGGAAATCAGTCAATTGAAATACATTCATTAGGCCCTAATCTAAGGATTTCACATGACTGGGCAGGGGCGCAGCCGTGGGTGAATGAGTTTTTCCCCACAAAAGGGCTTTGTTACAGACATAAATACTCCTCAGCGTTTAATCAGCTATTTGATATGCATCACCTGTTAGGTAGAATATTATCTTGACAAAGGAGAAATGCTCACTAACAGGGATGTAAACAGATTTGTGCACAACACTTCAGAGTAATGCGATTTTTGTGCAAATAAAAAATTTCTGGGATCTATTATTTCAGCTCATG